TGAGAGGGAGAGAGAGAGAGAGAGGGAGAGAGAGAGAGAGGGAGAGAGAGAGAGAGTTAATGCACTAAAACTGATCATGTTAATTCTTACATCAAATGTGGCCACAACCGGACCATTTTTCATAATATCAGCCTGCACCTCTCGGATCTGGTTGCTAAAACCATAGACTTTAGCCCCAAAGTGCAAGTCCTTAGTGTAGGTGCCGTTGAAGCCGGAGCGGCACGAGTGCGAGCACTCAGGTGTCGGCACAGTATCCTTAGCGCAGGCGGGCAGGTGTCCGGACACGTGATGTTCGCACGATTTAATCGAATAAGGTTGACAGCCGACCTTCGAGTCGTACAGACCGCCGGACACTAGTCCCGTGCGCTGGTAGTACTGCCAGGCGCTCTCCGGGAACCCACCCTCGCATCCGTCGCCGCACGAGTCACAGCAGGCCAGTAGGTTCTCGCCGGAGATCTCTACCTGTTGTTTGCCCTGCGATGCGATGCATATACGGTCGCTGATGGCCTCTACCACTGCGAACGCCCAGCACGAGCCTTAAGGTGAAATGCCGTTTAGCACTGGGTGTTTTGTATAATAAGTGAACATGATTATTTACCACAAGCTCCCTGGTCTCTGATCTCCTTAACGGACAGACAGTCGGGCCACTGTTCCCGGGCGTCAAACGTCTCAGGTATGGCAAAGCTGGGGTCAACTTCCGGTTGTTTAGGGTAAGGTGTGGTGCGCTTGGACGGCACACCTGATAGTTTTCGGAGCGACTCTATTGGGTACGAGTCGTCAAAGTTTTTGCCGGCCTTTAATATAAGGGTTTAATTAATGGTGTGTTTTAGCCCTATGTCTGGCGACTTATAAGCCATACCTTCCATGTGGTGCCCAAACCGTTGATGTAGTCAATCAACTCGTCGGTAGTCTTAAAGGTAGGGGTCGGGCTTTGCAATGACCCGGCTATGTATGTCGTTAGCAATAGTGCTAGAATTAATTTAGTCATATTGCTTTGTTTTAGCTCAACCAGCTATGACAATATGCGAGAAAACGAGTTTATTATATACCATGTTATTATCAATTTAATTAAGTGGCAAAAGTCAATTTTGCTGAATATTTATCACGACATTGTTGGGGGTATACGTGAGCTGATTTAATCATTTATTTATAAACATCATTAAAGTTTTTTAACTTACCTGACACAAACTTAAGCGTTTGTGATGTGCAAGGTTGCTGATTATTTGTTATTTTCAGGCACAATTTTGCACTTAATGTGACTTTTTCCATACTGCTATTTGAGAAGGTTATATTTTTAACATTCATTAACTATTATACACAATAGTACAATATTATAGATATTTTACCACTTGAAAAAATTGATAATTTAACCGATACAAGGGGTTTGAGATAAGCCAAATCACGTAAATATAACCTGGGTAAACAATAAACCTTTTACGTTACTTTGGGTTAATGTCAACGTGTATTAAATAAATTTCAAATACTTATTTTATCAGGGTTAGAGTTGTTGTCGTTTAGACCTACGTACACTGTATTGCAATAAGCACAATTACAGTGATCTTGTTTAGAAGTGCACAAATAACATTTTTAAATTTTTATTAAATTTACATTAAAACTATACATTTGTTTTACAATTTGGGTAAACCGGCGCTAATGTCGCTCTCAAACTGGCACTCATTATGTCCCCGACGGATCTTAAAGTAACCCTTATCTCCCCAATCGGGGTTCCATGAGTTGGCCACCAGCCAGTAGTCCACACCCGACTCAACACCCCATCCAATGATCTTCACGGCGTGACCGCCGGGCGAACCGCCGCCCACGTGGTGGTAGACACCGGACTTGTAGGTCAGAAAATCGGGGTAAACCTAAATATCAGTCATATGATTAATATGGCTTAACATGGTTATAGTTTAGCTTAAGTGGATTAGTACTTACATTGAATGCGGCCACAACAGGACCATTTTTCATAATATCAGCCTGCACCTGTTTGTTCTGGTTACTGAAACCATAGCTGCTTTGGCCAAAATGCAAGTCTTTAGTGTAGGTGACATTATAGCCGGCTTCGCACGTGTGCTGGCATTTGGGTGTCGGCCGGAGCTCCTTATCACAGGGCGGCAGATGTCCGGACACGTGGTGTTCGCACGCGTTGATAGAGTATGGCTGACAACCGACGTGCGAGTCGTACAGACCGCCCGACACTAGACCGGTGTGTCTGTAATAACTCCAGGCCTGCTCCGGCCAACCGCCCGAACATCCCATACCGCAAGCGCTACAACAGGCCACCAAATTTTCAGCGGACACCTCTACTTTTTGTTTGCCCTTCGATGCGATGCATATGCGGTCACTGATGGCCTCGACGGTGGCGAACGCCCAGCACGAGCCTAATTATGAATATGGTTAATTAAATTAAAGTAAACACGACTCTGACATTATTGTTTAGTTATTGTTTGACTAAGTTAGTGTTTCACTTACCACACGAGCCCTGATCGCGAACCTCCCGAATGGACGGGCAGTTCGGCCACTGTTCTCGAGCGTCAAACGACTCCGGGATCTCGAGGTCGGGATCCACTTCGGGTTGTTTCGGGTATGGGATGTCACGCAGCGATCGCACGCCTAACAGTCCTCTTAAGTAGTTTTCCGGATACGAGTCGTCAAAGTTTTTGCCGGCCTTTATTGGAAATAATACAACATGTTAATTTAAATATTTAAATTTGCCCATGGTAATACATGCCTTCCATGTAGTGTCCAGGTTATTTACGTAGTCTATGAGATCATCGTTGGACTTGAAGCCGGTTGGGGTCTGATAAGACCCGACTATAAACGTGGTCAAAGTTACCACTAAAAGCAATTTATTCATTATTGCTTAACTATTAATTTACTCTATGTGATTTTTTCAAAAATTATTGTTTATATACGATTTTTATTTTGTATTGTTAATAAATATCAATTTATATTCCTCACACCGATCACATGCGAATTCCACCGAGGTTAATGTTTATTGTTCTAGATAAGTTTCCTGGGAATAATGCACCGGGTGTTATAGGTTCAATGCAACTTAATATATTTATTGGATTTTATTGTTAATACAAAACATCTAAAATACCTTTGTTATTTTTTAAACAAAATAATTTTCTGAGCTATATTAATAAACTGTGAGTGTTTGATTAATGTATCAAATTGTACAGGTTGTTTGACCTTGAAATTCTTATTATTTTCTTTGTCAATAACAATAAGAGTCCCAAAGATATGATATTGGTACAATTTATGTTTGTTGCCTAATTGACAATGTACTTTAAATAGACCAGAATCGATCGTACAGTTGATATTAAGTAATTTTTTCATTATTTATAAGTGCATTGTAATTGATTCTTAATTGATAATGTTTTTTATCGTGATGATTGACATTTGAAAAATAAAACACTCAAAATCCAAAGGATTTACTGAACTATTGTGTAAATTCTATATTTATTTATACACACATCTATTTTACAATTTATTATGTGCTAATAAAGAAATGTCAAAGTAGTTTATTTATATTAAGTGTTAATCGTGCTAGATTGCGAATAATTATCAAGAAGACTAAATGTCATATATTATTTATTTTAACTAATGTAAAGAAAATAATAATAAATTAATAATTAAATATCAAAACATTATATTGTTTCTCAAAAATTTTATTAATAATGATTTTGTTTATAAATATAATACCAATTAAAAATAAAACAGAATTAGATGTTTTAACAATTATGGTCTAAAGTTATATGAATTAGACTCTAAAATATAAATGACAACTTTATATAATAAATTGGTAATAAATTATTAATAATATTATACACACAGTATTATGTTAATTTTATATTAAATGTTTATTGTTAACACAATGCGAGCATTTCTATTATAAACAATCCCTGTCTTCGTCGTCGACTTCTAAGGTATCAAATCTCTTAAGATGTGATTCTTTAGCCATATTTAGTAAATGATTGAACATATGTTTCCCAGTCTTGCGGCACATGTCATACAACTGTCCCTTTCGTTG